CCCCCCCCCCCCCCCCCCCTCACACACACACACACTTTTTGGAATTATACATTTTCAGCCTTTTTTCAAGTGTACTGTTTGCCGACTGGTGTAAGGGGATAAATAATATGTAACCATAGTAGGAATAGTACAAATATGTTGGCATATTATGCTATCATATTATTGTTATATCACATAATTTAATTAATGCTCAAAATATTACCCTTGAAGTTGCTTACTTGCATTGCACCCTAATAGTCACCCTACTTTACTATTTTACTCTGTCTATAATGCCAGACGATTTCGTCAAGGGAGTGCTGATCAATGACAGTTTCCTTAATTAGATCTATATATATTAGTGTAAATAATTGCAATTACCTGATGTTAGAAATCAATTTTCCTTTAAGATGTTTGAACAAGATGGCTCAGTCATGATATTTTGGCATTCAGTGTCACAACCACAAGAAAATAAATGTAGGTGAATGCGCAGTTCTACTCGCTGAGCTTATAGTCATGCAGCTTCTATAATTTTGTATACAGCACACTAATCATTAATTAATATTAAAATCATTCTATGTTTTTGCAGCATTTTCCTATTTTGCAAGAGGGATTTGCTCTACTTTAAATAGATTTATATGTGTTGGTAAGACTTTCTAGTATGATATAGTTATTAATAATAAAGTTGAAATAAATATTTGAAAAATGTGATTTAGTAATTGATAGCACATTAATGCATCATTGCAGTACGGTACATATTATTTATTTATTCAACTTTGCACGAATGACATGCATACAATACAAATACAAAATTATATAAGTGACGAATGGCGGGGACACCACAACAGTTAAAATCAATTAATTACTGCGGGCCCTTATTAGGTTGTGGTAGAGTGCAACATATGGTGGTCAGCTTTAATAGGAAAAACAGTTATATTAACAAAATTGTTCACTTCGGTACGAAGACCACTAGGCCAGGCTATCAACCGGATAAGTGATTTTTTCAAGCTTTCTGAAATTGTTGGTTGATTGGTATAACCCAGATTAAACTGTAGTATTTAATATAAATTAAAGGGTTTTTTTATTGACTGTGAGGTTTGTGTCCACAGTTTTATAGCTTTTCAAGCATTTTTTGTGTAATGGTTGAAAAAATCACTATCTGGTGGATAGCACTATTCAGCCTTCTACCTTTGTACTCGGGAGAAAGGAGGGACCGCTGACAACACATCAAGAAACGAAATATGCCCACTTTTCACTCTTGTCAAGTTGGCTCTGCCTTTGCATAAACATTACTTATATCCAATTAATCTGTTAATGTTCGTTATTTATAAAATCAACATTCAGTCTGGAAATTATTTATAGCAGAATTACTACGTATCAGATTTGATTGACAGGCGTATCAATTTCGACCAATGGGGATTTTGCGTTGTGTGGGCAACGCGTATTTCATTTCTTGATGTATTGTCGGCAGTCCCTCCTTTCCTTTCGCATGCCCGGAAATCTAAACCCGCGGAAAGGAGGGACCGCTCGCAGTCTAGTCCAGGATGGTAAAACTGGCAAACCAAAAATAGTGTGGAGACGTATGTGCTGATCAAACTATGTTGTTTTATTCATTTTATATTCCATTCAGTGATGAATCTGTCGATCATACTATAGTCAGTTTTCCATCTCTAATGTCTTTGATGGACTGTAATGTATGACAAGAGCATGCAATGAGCATCATGTAAAAAATATAGGAAGTGTGATTTAGGTTGCGGGCATGAGCAAAGGCAATGTAACACAATAGGTTGCCGAACCAATCAAATTCATTCACAGTTCGAATCATCATTATACCATCATCATCTGCGTAACATGGGCTTAACACGACAAGACAGCATTTCCTTCACGTGTCAACATTTACAGCAATTAAAACATACCATTACAACATCTTCATTCTTCAGGAACGTGTACAGGTTCAATTTTGGTGTTTGATGTGCCACCTCAAGGTACAGCTGTTAAACTACACGAGACTTTAGACCATCATAAAGTTGGAATCACAGACTTAGCAAGCGTTTTGGACAAAATGGTCTCGGCTGATGAAGATGGTAATATTACTGTATGGCAATGTGACGAGACGTCGAGGCAAATTGCAGAAATACGTGGCTCGGGGTAAGCTTAGGCCATCAACATTCATCAACATTGACAACATATATATAACGCCGGTTGGCGAGAATCATGGAAAAGCCATATTTTTACTACTAACTACAAAGCTGTAGATTTTAGTACTGTACTACTGATACAAGCTAGATCAGTTCGTTTGTGCTTGCAGGCAGTGTCAGGAAGGGAGTTCAAGCCCCAGTGTGCCTGAAGGAGAGGGGGTAAAAACCCCCTTCCCCCTACTGTGTGCTGTGCTCCTGTCGGTAACCATAATATGATGCGATTGTTGTAGTAGTATTTGTAGTCTTACCTGTAGTCAGATCTATCTATTATAATTGTACTGTATACGCTGGTTTTTATTTCAGAACACCGTGCATGAGTCTCGCTTTATGGAATGGTTTTATTACCGCGGCCTATAGTTCTGGACATATTCGCATATTTGACTTGGCTCTAGGAATTCTCAAAACAGAGATATGTGCTCATTCAAGATGCGTCAATTCCCTAGACATCGCTTCAGAAACTGGTCTGGTGAGTTCGCTGAACTAAATTTCCAACAAAACCATTTATAACAAATGAATATACTATTACTGTAAACCTAATCAGCTGTTCCTAATCGAGTGCCTCAACTTCCAGATAAGATGAAAATTTGAGTAGAAACCCTTCGTTTTTAAATCGTTAGTTTGTATGTTTCTTGCAGCTACTATCAGTTGGTGAAGATTCGTTCGTTCGAGTGTGGGTGTTACCTAAAGATTCTGCTAACAAGGTGGTAGTTAAAAATCCAACACAGTATTTTCAGCATAAGGCGTAAAAAAAATACCTGTGGTTCCGGTTCCCGACCGACCCTATTTTTTTCTGCCGACCCTATTATTTTTTCAACGCGATTGACCGTGCGACCCTATTTTTTCCGGGTGGTTGCGGGCTGCTAATACAGCGTGCCAAAATGGCGTCTGTTGTCACACTAATTATTGAACCAAATTGCCTATATTCGTCCATAGGAAATACGCATCTCTAGTTAATATTGATGTCGGGACTCTACTGCAAATCGCCCAGCAAAAAAACGCCAAAACCATGAAAAAAATAATTAAAAAAAAAAATTATTTCCGACCTACCGACCCTAATTTTTTCACGATATGAAACCGGAACCACAGGTTTTTGTACGCCTAACATTTTATAACTAAACATGAACTATACTGTCAAGCCAGTTTCGCATATTTAGCCTCAGTAGAGACTGAGTCGTTCTGGCAATTGAACTATTCATAGTAACACCAAACACTGTCCTATTTCATACCCAGGCGCTTTGCTTTGATAACGTCATTAAGGGCACTCGCCACGCGGGACAACACGCGAGCCATAGCGGATTGTCAACATAAAGTAGACGTACACCAAATTTGAATCTGTCCATTGGGCGAGAATAACGTTCTACCAATTGATCTATTCATAACGTTCTACCAATTGATCTATTCATAATAAATCCAGCCCACGTTGACACAGTATTTCTAGCAATGGAACTGTTGAGTTTCTGTCAACTTCCGTTCAGCGACTTCCGTTGGACTTGTTTGCCCAACAAAACTCCCAACAACAATAAGCCACCCCTAAAACGTGACTTATATGACTGTTTATAGTAAAGAACACCCCAACACTCTATTTAGCGCGTAACCCCAACACTCAGCTGTAATCGCGCGTAATTTATGGCTGTTTTTCTTTAGGTGGAGTTGTTATTCCAATCTCCTGTTTCAGACAGTCAGCTATGTGGTGGACGCTTTCTAGACGAGTCAGGCCAATCCTTTGGTGTTAGTGGCTATGATTTAGCAGAAATTGTTGTCTTTGGAAAAAAGTAGAACAGGAATATTTTGAACTGCTATTGCTTCTGGCATACAGCTTAGCATTAAGACAGTGGAAAATTTTAGATACAGATTATTTATTCTACCAGAAACCTGAAACTTCACTCTTTAAGATGTGTTCAAATCAGTCCAAGGCTGCCCAATATTGTGCATGTCGGATTATCAGGATGCTGCATGGCGTAATAATTCCTAAAGTGTCTATTGAATATAGTAATATCTTCTAGAAAATATCATGTAAAATTTAGATAAACTAAAAATGTACATTATGCAAATGATAATTTATTGTGAATATCGGCGAGATTGTTTGGCATCTCGTTCGATAGAACTATTAACAGTGAAAGATTTTTGTAGATGGAAATTTCTGAGCGGAAACTTTTTCGCAGCTGTTCCTGATCAGGTTTAAAATTTTATATAATCTTCCGTTCCAAAAATTTCCATTTACAATACTACTGCTGATGCATGTACAATACCCTATTATACACTGCTGATGTAAATAAACAGTTTCGCCTAAACAATTATGTCAGGACGTGTATTTTTTAATTACGGTAGCCACGGCACAGTATACAGTCAACCCCCATTTGGAACTGTATATTCGAATTCAGCAAGATTGGCGTTATTAATAATTATACGTCATGTCACGTGAACTAAATATATTGTCAACATAAGCCAGATTTGAACCTCGGTATATTCAGGCTCAGTATACCTGACAGACTATACAGACTGGCGTATAAAGCGTATTAACACTTCAACGTAAAGTTGACATACATATACCAGAATGTAATAACCTGTACGTCCAGTCGTTCAGCGAGACTCACGTTCTACCAACTGAATGATTCATAGCAAAACATGTTATTGCAACACATTTGTACATGGGTGTGGGAGGTAGTTGTTTTTTGTTCTGGTGTGTTTTATATATAGCTATGTTTCTGGGCCTTTATAATGTTAAGGGTTAAAATCAAAATCAACTAAATGGTTACTGAGGTCAGTTGAAGATAGAGATACAATGGTGATATCTCGACAGTCTGTGCATGGATATTTTCTCATTCGAGATAATAATTATCTTGACTATGCAATAACAATATATAAACAGAAACTATATATATAATCCGATTTTTTAATAATTCAAACCTAGCTTTCAAATTGTATTGCTTTAATTTGCATTGACATGTTGCCATGGCTAGCTTCGTGACTGTATTGACATGATATGATGATTGCATGTTCACTGCATTGAAGGCGAATTTCCATTCAGTGCAAAATGTTGCGGGATCGACTATTTGCGATCGTTTTCTTTTGAAATACAAACAGTTAAGCGGCACAAATCTCATTAGCTGCGTGTAGTTAACTGCACACATTTCAGAAGAAAGCGATCGCAAAAAATTGATCGTGTGACATGTTGCACTGACTATGGAAATCCGCCCGTTAACGAAAGCCAGGCGACCACCGCATCATCCTTTAGCACCGAGCTGAAACGACGTTTTCCGGTCACGATGCAGTTAAAATACAAGACTATTGATTCAACTGTTTATTTCAATATCAGACAAAGTAGGGTGAGGACTTCGTACAAAACGGTAAGTCAAAATTATTGTTCATACGATTTAAGTAATTTAGGTTAAATATAACTATCATAACGCGGTTTAGCCAGGTTTTCATTAACCCTTCAAATCTTAGTAAGTTTTCTTGGTGTGTTTAGTTTTAAAACTGTTTTAAAGTTGTGTTACAGTAATATCGTTTAATTACTTTATCTATACGTCCGCGTATATAACCACAGTTAATAGACTAAGAAAATTGATATAACAAACTTGCGAATACACAACACTTGGTTCTGAAGTATAAAATTCTGAAAGGAATGCAGTATTAGACAGGGATGTATTCAAAATAAAAATATAATAATTTGCAACTGCATGACTTGTTGGTAAATTGAATGAATTTTAATTCTACTCTAGAATGTTCACCATGCATACCTCACTGTTCGTCATCGTGTGGCTTTCGCTGGGTCACCTGTGGTTGAGTACCTCAGCTGAGTCAAAGGCAAGTTATTCTATACTCACTTTAGCCCTGGCCAGTCAAAATATTGGTGTTCACAGTCACAAATTACTCTTTACACAGATTTTTGAAGATAGTAATATAAGCTACTAACTTCCTGACGAAGGGCTTCGGCTCAAAACGTCGAATTTCGTTTTCAATGTCAGATTCTGGTAGCTGCATCCCTGCATACACTGGCACAGACAACTTCACAGACCGTTCAAGACTACAATATAGGCTTATTCATGATTGGCTGAAATACCCCAAATTGAATATTGTTCGATACTTTTCTAGAAAGTCAGTCTTCGGGGTTATGATCCTGGAAAATGTAATAAAGGAAACCATGGCAAGTTAGTCATGATCAAAAATCGTGAGGACAATGACAAACTGTTGGTTTGTGCTGAAGAAAATAACGTTTATCTCTGGAAAGCAACTGATGGTAAGGTTTCATATTGCAAATTGACTGTCATTACATGCTGTCAAAATTCACAAACTAATCCTGATTTTGCAACGCATCTTTACAAGGTTCCAATCCAACGGGAGAGTATTTAAATCCTGCATACGACTGTTCAGATGCTCTCAACAAAATCTCTGAGGCAAAGGATGGGTTTTATTGGATCAAGTTATCTGGAAATGTTCCAAAAAAGGTACTTCTATATATCAGCCGTGGTTGCTGCAATTTATGATCATAATAAAGTTTACGACTTTGCTCTGTAACACTTTTTGTTTTAGGCGTATTGTGACATGAGTACTGACGGAGGAGGGTGGGTGTTGATTGGTCGTAAAACGAACCCTGTCACGTGGACAGTACCATCCAATAATAAGACAGTTGAACCATTTGGCAAACCTCATTGGTCCAGCTCACTTGGTGAAGCTCCAATCGTTGACTTCCGTGTTCAAGTAGCAACCCAAGAAAATTTCAGTGCAACAAAAGCTCATTGGTGGGTGCATTATTAAAGCATAAATTTGCTCTCCAAACGGCTGTAATAACTGTTTACATGTATAAAGGCCAGGCTTCTTGTAAGCATTCAGTTCTGTTATACACATGAAATTATATTTCCCAAGTGAAATAAGTTTGTTTCGTAGTAAATTAATAATCATGATGATCATTAATGGATGGCATAATCAAGGCATTTTTCAAATATATATCGCCTGTGGCATTTTCCCCCGTAGACCCTTGCCCCGACCAGCAGTAAAGCAAGATTTTCAGATTAACTGGGCGGTTGCAATAGTTGAAAAAGCTGCGTCTGCTTACTTTCCTATATTTTCTTAAATTCTTGACATTCTATCTGATGAATGATTCATCAGATGGAATGTCAAGAATTTAAGAGAATATAGGACCATGAATGGTCTTTTTAAGACTCTACCCAGTAGTTGTAATTTCTACTCTGTGCATTATAAACATTAATAATATGTTTCATGATAGTGGTGATGTTACGAACGATAACTGTATATGACTTCCTCCTTTTCATAACCCGCGTATAGGTCGTTCAGACTGAAAAACAAACGCCCTTTAAAAAATCTTTTGATCCTCAATGAAGGAGGATGTGGTAGATTATGGCCAGGAATTGGTGATATTTCTTATGTTAAAGATCTTCAGACTGAGGAAATTATCACGACAAAATTTCGTTGTTCACAGTTCAGCTCTTATCATTCCAAGTCAGACGGTTTTGGTTGGGTAAGTTTTTAAAGCGACTAATTATTTCATATTACAATCTTTTTCCCACAAACAATATTCTATATAAGTTCGAGTTTCGCGACTTTGAATTAAATCCTGTCAGAATTTATACATGAAGTTAAATTTATTACATAGGACATGTTGAACAATTGTTTGAACAGTCCATGTTCATCTGGCTTTGCCTTCCACAAAAAGTATCCAGTTCAAATTGACTTTTCAGGAGCTTTTAGGTAAATATTACGAATGTCAGTTTTTAAAAATAATATGGTTTTCAACTTAAGTAAGTATATCACACATAATTAAAACAATAATCCAATATTAAATACAATTTTCCTACTCTACAGCTATAGTGCGTCTGCAAATACTTCAGGAATCACCTATGATTCAACCTCATTTGTTGGCTGTGAAAATCGTAAAGTAAGTTTTTTATTAATACACCATGTATATACTAGTCCATTAAACTACAATATTATACAAATATGCACAAGGCTGGTATCGGACTAAATACTTCCGGTAACCTTAAAAGTAAGAAGTGGATACTTAATTCACGGTCGTCAGTGAGTTAAACACTACAAGGTCAAGCCACAAATAATGAGTACGATTTTTCGGCCATATAGTAACAGTACTGTCTTATGTACTTGTAGTGTTGCGGATGTTTTGGTCCTGTTGGTGGCAAGAAAAATTACTGTGGCACTGAATGCAGAGCTAAAAATGGTGGAACTGTTGTGAAGAATGTCTATACATGGTTTTGGGTGAGATCATCACTACCGAAAAGAGTCTGGAACAAATGTATGGAGTATAAAGTGACTGTTGGTCAAGGGAAAATGGTTTGGTACAAATTATATAATGGAAATGCTGTTCCAGTAATGGTCAGTTTTACTTTTATTTCATTTAATGATAACTATTAATATGGATTATGGGTTTTAAGAGTGTTTTCTTTTAATTTCCAAACAAAACTAAAGCTAAAGGTAGAAAATAAATTTTTGGAATACATTGTTAACTTAGCTTAAACATTCCGAAAACATCGCTTTTTTGCGTCTTTTTAGGGTCGGTGTGGTCAAAAAGAAGCTCTTCTGAACGACGGCGTAAGGCATTGATATGTATGCTAAATATAAAACATTAAGCGTAATATTTTTTCATGTTTACACCATGCATGTCATTTGAAACCACTGATCTTATATGTTGAGCTGAATAAACTAAATATGCCTAGTTCTATACCTTATCCAGTTATCTTTTACAGATTGTCGTTGTCCCAGATAGTGCCGCTGCCCAGAAAGTACCGCCTGTGCCAGGGTTATTGGAATACCGTAAGGACACCAAGGAACTTTATGTAAGATCTAATGAAACATGGAATGTGATTGGTGAAGAAAAGAAGGTAACATTGACTTTGATGTACCCTTCAGTCGATATAAATTAAACATCCTGCAGACTTGCCACAAACTTGGAAGAACTAAAAACGGTTCAAATTTTCCCATGCCAAACTGAATACTGGAGATTTAATAAACAAAAACCTTAAGTCGGAAGCAGGACGTTTTGCCCCTCTTATAAATGTTTCATGACACAAGCTTACATTGACTAGAAGCATAGTTCAAAAACGCAGTCAATTTAGATGTCAGTTATCCCACAGTGGTTATCCAAAACTTTATGTCAGAAAACACAAGGAAACCATTCCTAGAGATCCACAAATGTGAATCTTATGGGAAACATTCCCAACATGCCAACACTGTAAGATTTTATTAAAAAATAATATTCGAAATTGAACATTTATTGTCATAGCTAACCGAATGGCCCGATTGGGCGTTAAACTGCATGGAATATCCAAGCATATCTTTCAAAAGTGCACGTGTAGTGGAAACTAAGTTGTGAGACTACTATAAGTTTAGGTAATTGACAACCGTGTGACACACAACAAAGTTGCGTGACTTGGCAAGTCTGCTGATCAGGGGGTGGAAAAAGTATTGGTCCCAGAAAATATTTCCCCAAGAAAGAAAAAAAGGATTATTGTAAAAATTTAGATGAAAGAAGAAAATTAATTTAGAGGAAAAATTTTAACCAATGGAAAGAATGTTACCTGCACTGTAGGTGACTTCCGAGAAATGCAATCATAAATACATCCATGCATCTTAATAGTGTGATAGTGCACAGATATATAGAGTGAAGACTATAGAATGATGTAACAAAAATGTTGTATGGCAATTTTCACAATTTTCCGGGAGAGCATGCATCCCCCTCCTTTTTTGGCATCTGCATTTACCTTAGGATCAGACCCCTGATGCATGTTATCTAAATTTATGTTATATATTCCTATAGGTTTTATGTTATATCCCTAATATTCTCAATGCACTGAAATTATTTTATGGTTGAAACATGGCATGACATTCAGTTTGACAACTTGTTAGTGTCACCCATGCAGTTAGTGTCCGAGTGTCGATTTACTTGATTACTTGCAAAAAATTTTCAATGTTCTCTTGCGGTCCCAAAAAGTAAAATATTTTTTCCACCCCCGATGCTGATCATGCATGGATTATTAAAATGCCACCTAAGGTGAAACTATGCCAAATAATGACCATTAAAAAGTATTAAAAAGAAATATAGCTTACTGAAGTTTCAATTTAGGACATTACTAAACGGAAATGATCAAACCAATTTAAAATTTTAAAAGATTCTCAGTTGTACTTGGGCTGGCTAGTGAGAAAGCAGAACGAGGCATTACGTAATATCATAATAGTTTCTACCAATTAGCTTAATATAGAATTTGCAAAACTCGAGAAAAATCTGGCTGGACTCAAAACACAGTTGGGAAGCGTAAACAAGACTGTCAATGAACATATCAAGAACTATGGTTGGTAACGCGCTTATTTTTATCATTATTATTATTGACGTGCATGCTATGGTTTCTCCAGAGTCCACTCAACCTGGACAGTCTTTCGCGCGATCTGTACTATCTATGTATTGTCAACAGGTGGGAAAATTGTCTGAGCATGCGGGAGAAGAACATATGCGAGCTTCGGCCACTCGGTTGATTCAAAAAACATAAACAACATGAACGAAGTCTTCGAAAGACAATTTTGCAGGGCTGTTTAGACCCACAAATCACCACAAAAATTGGATTGGCACAACCTGTAACATGACAAAATTCGTGTTTATAGAATTTTGAACGAGCGAAAATTGTGTTTAAATTACTAAGTAGGCTTGCGTCGAAAAATTTCTATGTACTTTCCAAATCTATAGGACAAACTATGGTAAATTTTCAATAGGTTGTCAAGGAGCAAAAGAATTCTATAGATGAATCATTTATAAAACAACTATAGTTTTCGAGTATTTAAGAGAAAATATGACGTTAAATATTGTAAGGAGCAATGCTGGATGATCCTGTTAGATACAATATGCAGTCTTCAGCATTCTCCCACTGATGTGCATTTTCAAGAAAATTCGATAATAGTCTATTCCTTATTGTAGAAATAAATATTAAGTCAGAGAACGTTCAATAAATAATGTTTCAACCTGGCTATACGCATCCTCTATTTTTTCAGTCTATTCCTAAATAAAAATATATAGTTAATCCCAAACACCATCTTCTATCACTATCACATCGACGACATTCGTCTAATTTCTCCTGATGTAAGCCTTAAGGAAAATCTGACGTTCATGCATGCATTATTCGTTTGACAGAGCTAGATGGTCTGTATGGCTCAAAAATTTTGAATCAGCAGCAAAACTACATTGTTCAGTTAGAGAAATGGCTTGGTGGCGCAAAGTCGTGGAAGTTATGTTACCGTGCTACGGAAAATGGCTGGGCAGCATCTACCTTCCATAACTTCTGTGATTCTAAGAAACCGACTGTCACCATCATCCGATCTCGATCCTACATCTTTGGCGTATACAGCGATGTAGCTTTTGGAGGTCAGTTTATCAGCTTGTATGATTTAAGCAATATAAAATGAAAATTACGCGTCAAATATCTTCACAGAATTTTATCGATCTCGATTTTTTCTTGAAACATTTTAATCCGCAAAATTACTTGAAGTTACAACAATCTTGGATTAACATTTACTCCAATGAAATCGGTGAATATCCTTTCAGTCAATTACCAATTTTGACCAGTGGGTGTCCGTAGCATGAAACGTGTAAGACAAGAGATGTTACCTATAGGGCCTAGTTTAGGTATTTCAATACATTACAGGTTTCAACTTTCTTTGTTTCTCAATTTCCCTTAGGTTCATCACGTTACAGAAGTAGTTCCAATGCATTTATCTTCTCCTTCGTGAATAAAGACAACCTCCCACCCTTCAAATCTCCTGTCAGATACAGTGCATATGCTTTATACACTAGTTCTAATTATAGTCCCACATTTGGTGGTGGTCATGATATTTATATTTCAAATAATGCCAATGCAAATACTGGTTCCTACACAAATTTTGGCCATTCCTATCGACCACCAAGCGGGTACGGCTCAACCAAGGCGCAGAATCTTCTCGCTGGCACTTACAATTTCACGCCTAACGAGATCGAAACATTTTATTTTAATTAACTTTTGATTAAATTTTCATGACGTAGAATTGCATTTAGAAACACAGTAAGATAGAAAATAACGTAAATGAATACACCGCACATCAGGGAAATTAAATACGAGTATTAATTGCCAATTATATGAGTATTTTATGCTACTGTGCTATATATAGCTACTGTACTTACTGTCGATAAATGTGCTGTATTTAAGCGATTTGAACGAATAATAATACTAATAATCATTATATCAGGTATATATAACGTGTTCAGTTTTTACTGATTACTATAATATGTTTGCCAAACAGCCCTGGTTAACCTTGTTTCGCCTTACGTCATCAGCATCATGCATTTTTGGATCAATGGACCTATTCCCTAATGAACAAAATTTTGATCTACAGTATAGACAAGTCTAGACAAAAATTTCATCACAGCTTGAAAGAGCATCACAAAATTAGTAATATTCCAAAGTTTCGTTGCGAAATGTTGTAAAATGCCTTATGCGGATAATATACAGCCCTGCGAAGTTTGCCGTTTTTCAGTCATTTCAGTTGTGTTACGCACGGGAAATTGATACCTTTTTCAGAAAGCGGTATCGATTTCCCCGTAGTTACCGTGCGTAATACAAAATGACTGAAAAACGGCAAACTTCGCAGGGCTATATTATCCGCATTTTACAACATTTTGCAACGAAACTTCGGACTATTACTAATTTTGTGATGCTCTTTCAACTTTCAAGCTGTGATGAAATTTTTGTCTAGACTTGTCTAGATCAAAATTTTGTTCATTAGGGAATAAGTCCAACAAAATTCCTTGTTTGCATGCTTGTAAGCCATCCATCCAAAACGGTGATTGGTTGACTTGTAAACCATCTTTCGCTGTTTTCGTCTTATTATTGTTTGTATTTGAACAAAATTTTGACCACAATTAGCTAAAACTGGATGAAAATTTTTCAGTACCCTGAAAACCTTGTACCTTGTCCTTGAATGGTTCACAACTATCTACATCAACTATAACAATTTACTAAAATTGTGAACGAATCACGACGAACACAAAATGACTCTACAACAACATCACGACTGAAGAGAGTGTTTGGAAGCGGGGCCGGGGGGGGGGGGCTCCCTGGTTCTGCTGCCCCTGTAAGACGGCGAGCTTACAACGTACTGCTGATACAAGTCCATAAGTATAATGTCTTGACGATATACTAGTCGTTAATAATAATATTTATCCATGACCAGAAGTTCCACTCAACGCGAAGTGCTTTTCAGGGAGGTCCTGCAATATATATCTATTATATTACATATGTTAAACTACACTATGCTCATATTATAAAGTATTTGCAAATATATAGTTCAGAATTACATATACTTATAACTCTAGTTTGAAAAAGTTCACCTTAATTAGATAAAATGTTTTAGTTTGGTTGAAAGAGTTGAAAACTAGCAGATTGTTTTTGTTCAACAGGTAATTCTATTCCGACACAGAGTGATATATAAATTGTTGTCTTCTCCAATTTGTACATGCATGCGCGTGGGAGGTAGTAGTTGTTATTCTGGCGTATTTTACAGCTATGTATCTTCGAGTTAAAACAAAAGTCAACCAGTAAATGGTTAAGGCATTTAAAAAACAACGATAGATACAACGGTGATATCTTCGACCATATCTTGATATTTTTCATTTGAGAAATGGTCTTGACTATGCAATGACAATATATAAACAAAAGGTTCAGCTGTCGTCATGCAACTGTCGCCAAACTATCCCTGAATTCGAGTTTCTCAACCTTGTACCATACGTTTTTCGTGCCCACTCACACAAACCCAGAAAATATATGGTATAACTCTGCAGCTCTTCCCAAATAAGATCAATGAAATATGTTCTTCCAGCTATTATATCAGTTAGTCACGATTCGTTCGTTCGAGTGTGGGCGTTACCTAAACATTCTTCCAGCAAGATGGGAATCTGATGACATATATTCATTATCATATAGTTCATTATCATATAGATCAAACTCATCACAGTATATCTTATGACCTTAACATAAACTTGACTCAACCTGCATTTGCATGTACAGTATATTGTTATTTTAAGTTGTAACAATGATGTTATTTTATCAAGTTGCTACAAGGTTGTCACTCACAACTTGTGAAGTTGTTGTTGAAACAACTTGTAACAACTTGTAACAAGTCTGTTGAGTTCAATAACCTTGAACAACTTGTCAGCAAGCTGGGAAGCAGTGGGAACACATTAGAACAATTAGTTTTTTAATGTATTAGTATATATTATAATGTGAAGCTGACCAGTATGTAGGCTTCACTATTTTGTATTATAGAATTAGGTTAATATATGTTGTATAGTGTGCACGGCCCATTGAAAATCAGCGTATAGCATGCTGAATGGCTACAGTACTTAAAGAATTTTAAAGATTAAAGAAGATTAAAGATTCTACATATAACAACTTGTTGGAACAGCATTGGCACAGAATAAAGACACACATGCAGAAGGTCGACTCAGCCAAAAAAAGCGTAACCGCTACCACGCCATGATTCGCAATGATTCATCATCAAAATGCTCACGCCATGGTCCTAGCCAACTCAAAACTCTGCAACTCTCCAAGGGAGTACAGGTAGTATTAAATATATATTTTTAATTTATTTTTTTATACAGATCAAGTTTTAAAAGGTGGATTTTAATACCGTACATCATTATATATAGAAGCCCTTAATAATGATCTGTTGCTCACATTCAGACTCAATGTGTTTTACAATGCTTCATGCTTGGGCTATCCAAAACCTAGGGAGTCAACCCTGAAGAACTAGTACAAATATGTTTGCATATTATGCTATCATATAAATTGTTATATCACATAATTTAATGCTCAAAATATTACCCCCTCAGGGTTGGCAGTTGCAACTTGCATTGCACCCTATATAATACACCCTACTTTATTATTTTACTCTGTCTAATGCCAGACGTTTTTACTCGTCAAGGAAATGCTGATCAATAAGTTAAAGACAGTCTTTTTCAGGTTTACCTACAATGACAGTTTCCTTAATTAGATATTAGTATAAATAATTGGCAATTACTCGATGTTATAGAAATCAATTTTGCTTTAAGATGTTTGAACAAGATGGCTCAGTCATGATATTTTGGCATTCGGTGTCACAACCGCAAGAAAAGAAATTTAGGTGAATGCAGTTCTACTCGCTGAGCTTAGTCATGCAGTTTCTATAATTTTGTACACAGCATACTAACCATTAATATTAAAATAATTCTATGTTTTTGCAGCTTTTTCATATTTTGCAAGAGGGATTTGCTCTACGTTAAATAGATTTATATGTGTTGGTAAGACTTTCTAGCATAATATAGTTAATAAAGTTGAAATAAATATTCAAAAAATATGATTTAGTAATTGATAGCACATTAATGAGCATCATTGCAATACAGTACATATTAGGTTGTGGTAGAGTGCAACATATTTTAATTGGAAAAACATTTATATTAACAAAATTGTATTTTTAATTTTCATGCATGCTTTCTAAACGAGTCAGGCCAATCCTTTGGTGTTAGTGGCTATGATTTAGCAGAAATTGTTGTCTTTGGAAAAAAGTAGAACAGGAATATTTTGAACTGTTATTGCTTCTGGCATTCAGCTTAGCATTAAGGCAGTAGAAAATTTTAGATACAGATTATTTATTCTACAAGATACCTTGGCTTCACTCTTTAAGATGTGTTGAATTAGCCAAGGCTGCCCATGCAGTGTTGTTGCACAATGTCGGATTATCAGCATGCTGTCGCAATAATTCCTAAAGTGTCAATTGAATATAGTAGTATCTTCTAGAAAATATCATTTAAAATTTAGATAAACTAAAAATGTACATTATGCAAAAGATAATTTATTGTGAATATCGAAATTTTTTGGGCATCTTGTTCGATAGAACTATCAGTGAAGGATTTTTGTAGATGGGAATTTCTGAGCGAAAGATTTTTCGCAGCTGCTTCTGGTTAGGTCTAAAGTTCGTTCTACATCAGGTCTCTTTGTCTTTCCTATATTTTAATACACCCTTTCGATAATTACGTCACAACTACACCAATTTCAACTTAGGAACATCTTAAATGGAAAGGATTTCAAGTTTTTTTTCTCATGGGCTATGCACATAGAAGCAGAACATCCTTCTCCAACACATGCGCAAAAAAATGTTTGGATTTTGATCAATAATATGGAAATAAGCATTAACACGAAAACGAGGCTCCAGATCATCACCTGGAGCCTCGTTTTCGTGTTAAAGCTTATTTCTACATTTATTGGTCAAAATAAAAAGGATGTTCTGCTTTTCTGTGCATAGCCCATGAGAAAATCTTGAAATCCTTTCCATTTAAGATGTTGAAAACAGTGTAGTTGTGACGTAATTATCGAAAGGGTGTATTAGTTTCACCCGAGAAATCACAAGACAAAGAAAAATTCCGCTTAGTGGAAAACGGTCTTAAAATTGTGAATCGTGCGTTCCAAATTTCCAATTACAAAAAACCTTTATTGTGAATACCCTATTACTGCTAAACAATTTCGCCTAAAATATGTAGTCAGGACATGCATGTATTTTTTAATTACGGTAACCACGGAGTAGTACAAAATACGAAACAATGATTTAAACTACAAAAAGAAACATTTTTAGTAATAAAAGGAAAATTTTCACAAATAAAAGGAACATTATTAATAATAATTAGAAACATTTTTGAATATATTTAAAATGTTCCTTTCTAGGAGTTACCGTTGTCTTTTATCAGTTTTACTTTGTATTTTTAAAAACCTTGATATAAATATAATAAAGCGAGAATCCGTTGACGGATGCGGCTGCTCTCTCAGTGCGGGCTACGTACTCAATCTGTGGTTGTTTTCATTCGAGATGTATAACTCCCAAAGCCAAAGGATTCATTTAGATCGAAACAGAGACAGTTAAAGGATTCATTTAGATCGAAACAACTTAATAATTAATACCTTTTAGCGCAATTACAAAATTCTTTCTAAGCTCAATTGAGCCGAAGGAGAGAGAAAAACATTCTGAATACGTGCAATGTATTCCAGTCTTCACACCACTACCACCACCACCACCACGTGATTTTGGATTACAAGAATAAGGGCCAGCAAAGCCAACAGTCTGAGTTTGCCAAAAATTGCCTTCGAATTACGTGTCGTGACGTCACTTGCGGGGGTTTAACAGCTTCAGCAGTGGGCATGCTGTCGCCATAATCTCGATGATTACGCCCTGGGTCAATTATGCGTACCTCCACAAGAAACAATTATGTGCTTGAAGCGCAGATGCAGACATTTCCCACTTGGCATAGAATGCCACATTATTTATTAACTAATTAGTAATTATTTATCCACCTTTTTCAACAGCATTTTTTTATTATCACCACACCAATCATTATCTACCCTGGATTCCAGAGCCTTCGACAGTAAATAATAAATTGAAACGTCGCAAAGGCTCTGGTTCAACGGGGAGATTCTTTGATTAAACCGCGCCAATCACAAAACAGAATTAGTGGTTTTAGTACAGATTCTGTACTAAAACCACTAATTCTGTTTTGTAATTGGCGCGGTTTAATCAAAGAATCTCCCCGTTGAACCAGAGCCTTCGCGACGTTTCAAGTTACTGTCGAAGGCTCTGGAATCCAGGGTAACATGATCATTATCTGACTGCCAGTCCAACCAGACACAGTACTAAAATGCGGTGCCCTGCAAAAAACATTTCTGGCGTTTCGCCTACAAGTAAATTTATATAAAATAATACGCTAGATGGGGCCCCTAGATTTCTCCTGTTGGCTAATACATGAAGTTTCTAGTGAGGGAAAAGTGAGCGCGCGAGGTCTGCGAGGACCCACCATCGAATTTTTATCGAATTTCTAAAGCTTTTTCATGGTGACGTCTCATGTTACGCTTACATTTGTTTTGGACTTTGGCCACTGTCAGTTCTATATTTTTTATAAAGTTTTGGTTTCTTAGTGTGATAAATCTGTGTATATAGTCTATATAATGTGGTAAATGCACCTAGCAGATATGACTTGACAGACTTGATATGAAATCTGATCTTAATTTACCTGTATGTCAATGAGACGCACATGTTTAATATCTGTCACCTCTGATTGCCCTTTAACCCTGGTCTTTGCTACTTCAATCTTTGCTACTTCAATATATATTGCTTCTTGTCCTTCTTTTCAGTTCCATTCACAGCTCACTAGTCGCTGCGAGTAATCACTGTGCTTGATATAATTTGCGCTCTCTACTGTGGTTCTATTTGCTTTTGATGCCCGCAGCAATCCCTACCTTGCAGGTACCCTAGTTTAATATTTAGCACGCTACATTCTCCTGTCTGCCGCCAGTTGGTCCGTACGTTAGGGTCGAAACTGCGTTTTAAAGCCTTCAAAATAAAATATTTTGGGCTCAAAATACTATCAAAATGAAGAGAAAAGTGAGACGAATCGACTGGCATACGGCCGAAAACGAGAAAACCCAACAATTCCGAAGTTATCAAGGATCAAACGGACTGCATTTTTAATTAGTTTAGTAATTTTGAGCGATTTGTAAACAATACAATTTCGCTTATTAAAACTGCACATTAAAAGCTTCAAAATATAATAATTTGGGCTCAAACTACTAACAAAATAAAGAGAAAAGTGAGACGAATCCACTGGTATACGGCCGAAAAAGAGAAAACCAACAATACGAAAGTTATCAAGGTCAAATGTATTGCACTTTTAATTATGTTTAATAATTTTGAGCGATTTGTGAACAATACAATTTCGCTTGTCTTTCAAAGGCCATAAATCGCTAGAATACTGTAGTTTAGTAATACATTTGACATCTGTGAGTATAATTTCTTACACTGAATCGAAAGGTGGTATTTTTGTCCTTATTGGGCGCATAAAACCAGAGATAAGACGCAGCAAAATGTCAATCGTGAGAGTTCGAGTTGTAATTCGAAAGAAAACTTTCCTCGAAAAAAGGAATTCGGAAAACGTGAAGGATTATTTTGAGCGGCTTATGTCTTTCAAAGGCGACAAATACCTAGAATAGAAGTCAATACGAGAAGCCAGTCAGCTCCAGTTTCAGATTCGCAGCTCCAGTTTCAGATTGAATCTGGAGCCAGAGCGTTCGTGTTCGAAGGGCTCTAACTCCACAAAGCCTTCACCCATCTTAACAATAATTTTTTTCATTCTTCTTCAAGAAAAGGACTATCATATAACACAATCCCTGAGTCGCTACTGCTTCTAGATTGCTCTAAATAGCTTGCATAAGTCAAGTCGCCAAACCGTGTTGGGTCAATTAAATCTTGAGCAAGACACGGTTAGTTCCTATCTAAATCGCTGTATCGTCGTAAGGAATAAATGTAGCGCTATAATAATTTTTTTCATTCTTCACTGATAATTTCCACATCACCTAAAGCATTCGGCTTGTCTGTAGCGCTGTTAGTTTTCTCTGGACGCCTCTCATAAGTTATGTCACCGAACAGCGACATATTGATGGAGACTGCAAACACGCGTGCCGCTTAGCGATTTAAAACGCTCGTTCTCCGCCACAAGTTACTTTATCGTCATAATATTTTTTTTCATTCTTCACCCATAATATTCGCATCATATGAGATTATTTTTAAGCTTATACCGATTTAAACTTTGACTGAACAGCTTGCACAAGACGAGTCGTCGAACCGCCACATATTGGCACTTACCGCAGGTCAGTCGACAAGTCAGCATACTAAAAACGCTCTATCTCAGCCAAAAATTAACATATCCTTTAAATATTATTTTTCATTCTTCCCTGATAAATTACACATTATTTTAAAAAATCAGCTTGTCTTTAGCGCTTTTAGTTTTCTCTGGAGGCCTCGCATAAGTTATGTCATCGCACAGCGACATATTGATGGAGACTGCAAACACGCGTGCCGCTTAGCGATTCAAAACGCTCATTCTCCGCCACAACTTTATCGTCATAATATTTTTCTTCATTCTTTACCCATAATATTCGCATCATATGAAATCATTTTTAAGCTTATACCGATTTAAACTTTGACTGAACAGCTTGCACAAGACGAGTCGTCGAACCGCCACATATTGACACTTACCGCAGGTCAGTCGACAAGTCAGCATACTAAAAACGCTCTATCTCAGCCAAAAATTAACATATCCTTTAAATATTATTTTTCATTCTTCCTTGATAAATTACAGATTATTTAAAGAAATCAGCTTGTCTTTAGCGCTTTTAGTTTTCTCTGGAGGCCTCGCATAAGTTAGGTTATGGTAATATAATGGATCAACCCCCGCCCCCCCCGTAAGCGGGATTTCCCCTTTGTTTACTACAGCTCGAACTATGTATTATAAATTGATACATATAAATTTGTTTTATAATATTACTTAATTTATATTGCAAATTAAGAATAGGTATAATATTTATAGTTGGGTTCCAATGGGTGTTTGTACATTCTGAGTAATGAGTAATGGATTTTCGTATACTTACATTAGGAAAATAAACCATGAAAACACTGTCAGTGGCAACCTCGTTGTGTCAGTGGTTCTATACTGACTATACTCACTCTCTGCCGTGAATAATTATAATGCTGTGACAGTGTCAGGCGTGTAACGAAGGGTAAATTACTCTGAAAATCTTCGTACAGACGTACACTTCATCAAAAATCCCCAAAAATCTTTGGAAAATCCCAAAATCCCAAGAAATCTCTAAAAATAGCATAAAATCCTTGGAAAAAGCCCAATAAAATCCTCAGAATTATTGCAATATTGAGAAATCCCATCAAATTTAAACATTTAAATCGTGAATTGACGTGAAAATGTCCTTCGCCGGATTTACTTCGTTTTAAAAATAATTCGACGGATTACTGATGTCGCAAAAAATTTCGGAAAAAGTTCGGCGAAAAAAAAAAGGGGAACATTTCGAAAAAATCAGCTGGAAAAAAGT